TGGCTGAGGGGGATGGAAAGCCAGGCCATCAACCCCAGGGAAATGTGAGATCTTTGATGAGGGGCCCCCACCCAACCTGAGGCTGTCCAAACATGCTAGCTGCATCTACTGAAGACACCCACTTCCTTGGGCTAAGGTGGGAGGGACTGATAAGGCAGAACCACCCCTTCCTGAAGAAGCCTGCAGCTTGGCCCAGGCCCAGGGGAGGACACTGGGGCCACCTGGCAGGGACCTCGAGTGCTTGTCAGTTTATTCAGGTGAACGTTCAAAAACATTGATGGGAAGCTGAAGGCGCAGCAAGGGGGAACAGGGGCCTGCCTGCAGAGAGCCAGCCGATTGTGGGGGCAAGACAAACAGGAGAGTTCACAAACGAGGTGACCTCAGATGGGGCCCAGCGTCAGAGCCAGAGCACATGGGGTGATGAGATGGGGGTCTCTCCTGGAGGAGGCAATCTGAGCTGAAACCTCACGTGCTAGGAGGAGCCAGCCACGGGGAGAGCCGAGGGAAGGGCACTTCTAGGCAGAGGGCATGGCTTGTCACATGGAGGCTTGTGCAAAGGCCCTGGGGTGGGGGAATAGAGAGTGAGTGCAGTGGAGAGGAAATGGGAGATGGACAGGGCCTGGGCCACACTGGGTCTGCAGGGCATGAAGAGCATTTTTTGGTTTTTTGTTTTGTTTTGTTTTTTGTTTTTTGAGACAGGCTCTTGCTCTGTCACCCAGGTTGGAGTGCAGTGGTGCCACCCTAACTCACTGCAGCCATGGACTCCTGGGCTCAAGTGATCTTCCCACCTTAGCCCAAGTTGCTGGGACCACAGGCAGGTTTTATGTAGAGGGCAAAGGGGAGCCATGGGCAGACTGAGAGCAAGGTTGGAGCAGGAATGACAGGGCCAGCACTGCAGGCCTTCCTAGAAATAGCCCAGGAGCACCTCCCCACCACATGACAGATGAACAAATGCTTGAGAACTGCCCAGGGTCACAAGACTACCCAAGGTCACACTGGCCCAGCAGGTAAGTCAGGGCAGTCTGGGGCAAGTTCGAGATCTTTCTCCCACATCCTGGGAGTCTCCAGGGAGGAGGGACAGGGCGGGGTGACTGGGTCAGAGGTTTGGGCCAGCCCTGCTGAGCTGAGAGCACCCTTTCCTGCTGGGGGCAGGGGAGACGAGGACACCACGGAGGTGCAGCCAGGGTGACGCTCCTCAGCTGTTTGCATCAGCTGGATTCCGCGGAAGCTGGGGGCCTGCTGGGAAAGGAGTTTCGCTGAGGTCAAGGACTGAGTCCAGGCCATCCTGGGGCTCGGGGAGGCACGTGACAAGCAGGGGTGAGGGTCCAAGAGGGGAGAGGCCTCCAAGGTGTGGGCAGAAAGGCTGGGGCACACACGAGTGGTCCTGAGGCTGCCTGGACCCCCGTCAGGCCACAAGGGATACACAAGCTACCTAGTGACCATGGTGTGACCTCTGAGTGTGACTTCAGAGCAGAAGAGCTGGGGTCTGCGGGGCCTTGGCTGCCTGGGCCCCCCCAGAATGCTTGGGGTGGGGTGGTCACTGAGGCCAACAATGATGATGTCTTTTTTTTTTTTTCTTTTTTGAGACAGAGTCTCACCCTGTTGCCCAGGCTGGAGTGCAGTGGTGTGATCTCAGCTCACTGCAACCACTGCCACCCAGGTTCAAGCACTTCTCCTGTCTCAGCCTCCTGAGTAACTGGGATTACAGGCATGCATCCCCACACTGGGCTGATTTTTGTATTTTCTTAATAGAGATGGGGTTTCACCATGTTGGTCTCGAACTCCTGACCTCAAGTGACCCGCCCACCTCAGCCTCCCACAGTGCTGGGATTATAGCCGTGAGCCACCGTGCCCAGCCGATGTCTGTCTTATAGATGGGGAAATTGAGGCACAGAGACAAAAGGTTGGCTATCTAGGACACCCAGCCTAAGACAACTGGGCACCCCCCATGTGCTCAGCCTGGCCCAACACCTCTCAGAGGGGGCTCTATCACTGCCCCACTCCTCACTTTAGGAGGAGCATATTGAGGCTCGGAGAGGTTCTTTCACTTGCTCAAGGCTGCAGAGCTGAGTAGGGGATGAATGTGGAGCCCTCCGGCCCTGTGGGTGGTACACATCAGAAACAGTGATCCTGACCATGGCCTCAGCGCCTGCCTGTCTGAGGGTGACAGTGGATCCTATATCCCAAGCCATTCCCAAAACCCCTTTGCTACCCTCAGTGACTCCATGGCCCCCCCACCAAAATGTTTGTCCTTCCCCCATACTCTGAGGCCACTGGCTGCAGCCCCCCATGCTCAGCTGAGCTAGGGAAGAGACCCCTCCAATTGTTTACCCAATGATCTTTTATTATCAGGTACCCTGGCTGGCCCAAAACCAGAGACAGACAAGCTGGGGCCAGGCATCTGAGACCCATTTTACAGGTGAGAAAAACGAGGAGCAGAGGCCTGTACGAACCTGCAGTAAGCAGCAGGCACTGGGGGCCCAACCCCACTGGAATCGCCTGCCCTGCCCTGAGCCTGGCCCACAGCGGCCACATTTCAGATACGGCAGTGAGTGATGGGACGTGCCCTTTGCCCCTCCTGGTAGGGCATGGGGCTAGGGGGAAGGAGAAGGACAGTAACGTCCATGCTGCTGGCGGGGAGGCGAGGCTGGGACCCAGGAGTGGCTGGGATGTGGGGGCTGCTTTCTTCTGTGTAGATGCCTCCCTACAAGGCCCCCCACTCCCCGACCCTTTACCCAAGGACTGCCGAAAAACACTTCTCACTGTGAAGGGGACAGAACTAATGTGGGACAGTGGAGGACCTGGATCTACCCCCATTCCTGAGTCACACGACTCACCCAGAGTCATGGCCCAGACTGGGCCGAGGGTCATGGCGCCAGGTTGCCCCTCTGGCCTGTCCACAGCTCTTGGAATTCGACATGGCAACCCAGGTCCCGTAGGGCAGCCTTGGCCACGTCCTCACAGTCACGGTGGGCCGATCGGGCCTGCACGATGAGTGCCTCAGCCCCCAAGTCCAGGATGGGCTTCGAGAAGGCCTGGCTGTGGGCCACCAGGTTTCGGATCAGCATGCAAGCCTGTTTCTGTAGGAGAGAGCAGCTGTGAGCTGCCAGATAGGGCTTTGGGGTGGGGTCCACTCTGACCTCTGGGTCTTCATCATAACAAGATGGAGGTGATCATAACCACAGCTGACATCTAGCAGCTGCCTACACTGTATCAAGTTAGACCCATCTCTCCACTTTACCCTCTTGGCAGCCCCAGAAGGCAAGGCTAATGCCCCCAACTCCCAGGCAAGGAAACAGGCTCAGGGAAGCTCCAGGATCTGTCCCATGGCTTTGGAACTCTCAGCCTCAGAGTTGGTGAGTCTGAGGTCCCCCGAGGCTGGCACGGAGCCAAGGAAGGGGCCCTAGGGCAAGGGGGCAGTGAGGCCACAGGAAAAGAGTGGTTGTGCACAGGCGCCTGTCAGTTACATTCCTACACATTCGGTGGACATTTGTGCTCTGTGCACCTGCTGTGGGTGGGTGCGGGACGCTGCCTGGAAGCTTCCCAGGGTGGCTCCCACCACCAACAGGAGAGCAGATGGGAAGCGCATGCAGAGTGGGGAGCTGCTGGCCAGGGTGGCCAGAAGTGGACAAGGGGACAGACCAGGTAAGGGATAGTGTCCCAGAGTAAGAGCCAGTGAGAGCAAAGGCCCCCTGTGGGTCCCAGCCTGGTATGTCCAAGGACCCTATGCGGGGAGTGAGGAGGCGAGGAGGGCCCCAGGGGCTGCAGGGAGGAGTCTGGGTTCAGCCAGGGAGGTGTGGACAGGGTGTCCCACACCCAGAACTTAGACCAGCAGCCCAAGGAGGGGGCAGGAACCTTTCTGAAGCCCCAGGCAGATCACCATCCATGCTTCCCCAACTTCTTCCTCCCCAGATCTCTCTACAGCGACTTTTAAGAAAGGAGATTGCCGGGCGCGGTGGGTCATGCCTATAATCCCAGCACTCTGGGAGGCTGAGGCGGGTGGATCACGAGGTCAGTAGATTGAGACCATCCTGGCTAACATGGTGAAACCCCGTCTCTACTAAAAATACGAAAAATTAGCGGTATACAAAAAAACTACAGGCCTGTAGTCCCAGCTACTTGGGAGGCTGAGGCAGGAGAATGGCGTGAACCCGGGAGGCGGAGCTTGCAGTGAGCCAAAGAAAGCACCACTGCACTCCAGCCTGGGCGAAAGAGTAAGACTTCGTCTCGAAAAAAAAAAAAAAGAAAGAAAAAGAAAGGAGATTAAGGGCGTGGTAGCTCACACCTGTAATCCCAGCACTTTGGGAGGTGGAGGCGGTGGATCACCTGAAGTCAGGAGTTCGAGACCAGCCTGGCTAACATGGCGAAACCTCGTCTCTGCTAAAATTACAAAAATTAGCCAGGCTTAGTGGCCCATGCCTGAGGACCGAGCTACTCTGGAGACTGAGACAGGAGAATCACTTGAACCCAGGAGGCGGAGGTTGTAGTGAGCCGAGATGGCGCCAATGCACTCCAGCCTGGGTGACAGAGTGAGACTGTCTCAAAAAAAAAAAGGAGATGATGTGTTATAGGTTTCTTTCTGGGGTTTCACCAGAAAGCTCCCCCAATGCCCCCCTCCCCAAAATAGGAGAGTAAATGTAGAAAAAACAAAGGCAGAAAAGGAAACAGCTGCAGGCAGAATTCAGCACATTTTGGAAGATGAGAAAGAAGTTGGCCCTGTGGGGCTCGGCTGTGGCAGGGAAAGGGACAGGGATAGGGACTGAGCCTTTGCCCCATCACCCACCCACACATCGCACCTGCTCCCATGCCCTCTCAGCACCTACCTGCACACCCCACCCCAGCCTGCCTGCCCCCATCCCATGCCCTGCCCACCTGCACGCCGGCCTTCTGCGGGTGTGCCTTCATGGCCTGCAGTGCTGCCACAGCCCCTCCACCCTCCACGATGATGCGGCTGTTGTCCGGCTTACGCAGGGCCAGGAAGCACAGGGCCGCGCAGCTCTGCTCACACACCTGCAGGGGGCAGTCACAGGAAGGCGGAGATGTAGCGGAAAGACCCTCCACAACATCCTGCCGTGGCTGCCAACCCCTGGTGAACACCCTGCGGCCTCCCCTCCGTGGGTCTCTGGCAGCTCCTGTGTAATAACGGCACGACGGCAGGGTGACAAAAGTATCAGCCGAGCTCTTAGGGGTGACAAGGGCACTAGGCCTGGTCAGACCTTTGCAGGGTGCTGGTGGTAACTCCAGGACACCCAGAGTCATGCATAGGCAGGTCAGCATTTGAGAGCCAGAGCCTGCGACCCTCACCTGCCCTGCTCTGGCCCTACAGAGGAATAGAGCTTCATGCAGACACAGAAACTGAACTGGGACTCCAGCCACTACCCTGCTACTCTGTGTGCCCCCAGAGGTGGGTACCTGGGGGCAGGTCAGGTGCTGGGTCATGGCAGCCACGATGGACTCCGTCCCGCCGGCATGGACAATAGCGTCTTTCACATCGTCGTTGCCTGCGATGGCTCGCAGGGTGCTCAGCACTTGCTTCACGAGCTCCTGCACAAGGGAAAGGCTCGGTCACCCCCAGCCAGGCCGCTGGATTGTGGGAGAGGGCTCTGAGGGAGAATCTGGGGCTGTTTTACTGTTTCACCAGCAAGTACGGTGTGACTGCAGAGTGTGACTAATGAAAAGGGGTGGCAGATGCCTGTGGCTCAACTCAGGCTGCCTATGTCCAAATGGTACCATCCAGGTGACTTGATCCCCTATCCCCACAGGGGCAGAGGGGGCATGTGACTCAGGCCGGCCTTCAGAGCACAGGGTCCCCCTGGCCACGGCCACAGACCCAGGGTGGGTGCTAACTGCCCTGCACTGAGGACAGTGGATAAGATGCTATTGGGACTGCTGATCCCCTTAATGGGGAACCTGAGGACCCTGACCCCTGACTGCCCAAGAATACATGGCAAAATGTATCCCTTTATGCGCTGAAGTTGGTTCCCATTCAGCTCCCAGCCACTTGCACAGAAAGAAGCTGAGTGACGTCACCAGCGAGGCTTGGGGGCGCAGGACTGTGGCACCCCTGGGGGCTTTCCTGCAGCTGCAGCTGGATAGGGAGGCGCCTGTTGACTGGCTCCCTGCTGTGGGTGGGCACATGGAGAAGGGCTCGATAATCAGCTGCTAAATGGAGTAATGAGTAGGGGACCCTGCTCTATTCTGCAGCTAGGGAAACTGAGACAGAGTTTCCTAGATACTTAGGTGTGGGAACTAACCCAAATATCCCAGCCTTGGCCAACACACCCCCACCCTGTGCTTCCCACCATCCTTTTCCTGGTGCAAAAGGACAGTAAGGGAGAGCGGGTGGGTTTGTTCCCCCCCCAACCTTTGGTTCCTGCCCTTGGGTCAGTGAAAAGAAAAACTGCACTTTGGTTCCGAGATTAGCAGGCAGGGCCGGCTTGTTCTGACTATGGCTCGTCCGGCTGACTGGGACCCAGAGGGACAGCATGCACTGGGCCAGGGGGGCTTCATACCAGAACGCCGCTCTGGTTCCCCACCTGGTGGTCATTGAAGTCAGCTAGCAGGGACACCAGGATGCTTAGGCCCCCGAGGTCGACGACCTCCTGGCAGAACTCGTTGCGGATGGCCAGGCGGGACAGGGTTCCGCAGAGCTCGCTCAGGATGCCAGGGTTATCTAGGAACGCTGCGGGGAGAGAGGGAGACAGTGGTGGTGGGGGCGGGAAGAACCAGCTGCAGGGCCCTCCGGTTGGGTGGGGATCCTGCTGCACTAGAGGAGTCCAGCCCTTCTGCCTACTGGAGTGGCCACGGGCACCAGGAAGGCCCCAGGGAACACCAGGGGCTGCCTGGGCCTGCAGTGCCCCCTGCTGGCTGCTGGAAAGACTTAGGAATGTGCCCCTCCAGCTTCCTTCCATCATGCCCCAAATAAATTCCATACCAACTGATGGTCTCACCTAAAAAAAGAAAACCATAATAGTGCTAAAAAAAAAGACATCTGAAGACTATTTTTATGATCATGGGGTAGGAATGGCTTTTCTAAGTGCAACAGGAAACTCCAAAACCATAGAAGGACACATATGGACCGGGCTGACGTGGCCAAAACTGAACACAGGAGGCGCAGATGGAGCCCAGAGGCACTGCACCACGAAGCAGATGCCGGAACTCACGCCAAGAGGGCGAAGATCCTGCACCTACACAGGGCTGCGATGGTCAGTTCCTGTGGCCACCTGTAGCCCTCTGCAGTTCCACCCAATGCCAGTCTAGGTGTTGCCATAGAGGTATTCTGTCCATATGGTTACCATCCGCAATCAGCTATCTATCTATTATCATTATTATTATTAATTTGAGACAGAGTCTCGCTTTGTCACCCAGGCTTGAGTGCAGTGGCGTGATTTTGGCTCACCGCAACTTCTGCTTCCTAGGCTCAAGAGATCCTTCTGCCTCAGCCTCTCAAGTAACTGGGATTACAGGCGCCCGCTACCACACCCAGCAATTTTTGTATTTTTAGTAGAGATGGGGTTTCATCATGTTGCCCATGCTGGTCTTGAACTCCTGGGCCCAAACAATCCTTCTACTTCAGCCTCCCAAAGTGCTGACATTACAGGCATGAGCCACCATGCCTGGCCTAGTTGCCTTTAAGTAGAGGAGATGATCTTGAACAATGTGAATGGGACTCATTCAATCAGCTGAAGTCCTTAGAAGGAAACAGGTGTTTTCTCGAGAAGGCGACTGCCCTGGAGTTTCCAGCCTGTCCTATGGAGTACAGACTTGCCACAATTGCATGACCCCATTCCTTACCAAAAAGTCTCTTCATATATATATATCCTGTCTCTCTGGCTGAAACCTAACTGCTTGGAGCTCCTATAAATAAAACAGGAAAGGTGTGAGCTACCTCCTGGAAAAACAGTCTGACTTTGCAGGTCAGGACTCATTTTCAGCCTTGCTGAAAGTGTGGGAGACTGAGGTGGGCTCACTTCCTCAGCAGACAGAGCCAGAACCCCCACACAGGCCTGGCCACAGAGCCAGAGCCACGGGCAGGCAGGAAAGGGGAACTCATCCTTCTGACACCTCCTGTGTGTCAATCAGGACTTTTCTAGTGGGTTCAGCGGATGGAATGGGGTTGGGGTTAAGACAGAAGCTGTAGGGTCTGACGGTCAGCACTGTGACCTCCCAGAGCCGGCTCACCATGGTCACCCTGGAGCCAGACACATGAATATGCCTAAGGATTTGTGGCTGAATATGATCAAGCGTGTACACATCCACCTGAGACTGCCACAGTGCATGCCAGCCAGCCTCCCCCAGTCCTCTTATTTCCCTCTGGGGAGGTCCCCCTTCCCTACTCAGTCCCTGGAGTTGGACACAGCAAGCCCCTTCCCCAGAAGCTCCAGAGATGGGATTGTGGCCTGCTCCTAGCTCATGAGTGCTGGCCTGGAATTCTCCTGGAGCCACTAGAAAGCATGGGGAGACTCTTCACGAGGGTTGCCATGCAGGCGGGTCTAAGCCGAGGGGCGAGCGGAACCTTGAGCCCACCGTGCCTGAAGCAGTCCTGATCTTTGACCCCCTCACTCTGGTCACATCTGACCCGCCTGCCTTTGTTTGCTAGCTCATATTGGCCCCCAGCTCTTACCTTTGGTAGCTTCAATGAGCACCTTCAAGCCTTTGTTCTCCTGCACAATCATCTTGGCATGGTTGTGGGCATGGCCAAAGGGCACACGGATGTCATCATCGAAGGTCATGACACGCAGGGCCCAGCAGGCCTCCCTGACCACGTCGGCATGGTGGCCATGATGGGCAATGGCGCCAGTCAGCAGGGGCAGCACGCCAGCTTTCACCAGGTCTTGCCGATTCTGTTCATGTTTCAGGCAAGCGTGACGCACACAGCGGATCCCAGAGCAGGTCAGGTCGGCCTCATCAGCATTCTGGGTCAGCGTGGCCACCAGGAGCTGCAGGCCCTGGGTGTCCAGGAGGTCTGGCTGGCCATCAGTCAGCACTGACAGGGCATTGAGGGACTGGAGCAGAAGGCCCTGGTCACCCGCAGTAGCCAGCTTCCAGGCAGTGAAGATGATGGGGTAGGCCCCCTTCTGGGCCGCGAGGAAGCGGCAGGCCTTGTCCTGCTTGCACTGATCACAGAAGCGGGTGAGGTGTGCTGACACCTCCTGGGGGCGAGAGCTGGCCACAGACTCCTGGAGGTCACTGAGCGTCTGGGAGACATGGGAGAAACCTCAGCATCAGCTCAGGCAAGAGGAGCCCATGGCCACAGCAACAGTGTCTGGATCCCTGCAAGGTTCCCTCCCCTGGGATCTGGGCCTGCAGTGGAAGTAATGTGGGGTCAGTTACAGCTCTGGCAACTTCCAGACCTGTGCTTCTAGGAGCTTTGAGCTTCAGAGGCCATAGGGTGGAAGACTGACACTGACATACACACACACACACAGAGAAAGACAGCTCAGTGTCCCTGCCGAGGGGCTGCACACATAAATGCAGACATATTAAACATTCCAGCCCTACCTGCCATCTAGAGGACCCAAGCGATACCAGCAGAAGAACCGTCCAGCTGAGCCCAACCAGGCAGAATCACAAGAAACAGTAAGACACCTGTTGTTTTGGGTTGTTTGTCACACAGCCGTAACAAACTGGCACACCCATCAATGGTCAGTTCTCCAAGGAAGGAGAAAGCCACATTCACCAGATATACCCATCCTGATGTCTCCTTTCATCTCTCTCATTCACTCCACAAACATGTACTGAGCACCTGCCAAATGTGGTTATACTATACAGAGAGCCGATTTACCCAAATTCAACTCTAAGCCACTGGGGAGAAAAAGCTTTAAACACCTCAGACAAGTTTAGCTGCCATTCAACTACATGACCCTGGGACACATCTTAGCATGAGCCAAAGATGAATCTGTAAGCCTGGAGTGTAGGAGATTATTTGCACCCAGACTGAGTCAGGGCGGTTCTACAGAAACCACCAGCCCAAAGGGCTTTGATTTGGCATTGACTGACACAAAAAACAAAGAAGCCTATCTGATAGTCTTCACTAAGCTCAGATTTGTGGACCTGAGTATATGTTACAATGCAACAGGATATTTAAAAAGACACATTTTTGCTAAAATGAGATTAGAACTGAAAAACAAAAAACAGTAAAAAAGTTAACACCAGTGTGCATGACTAGAATAGACATTACTACAAAGAATACATACAAATGGCCACTAACACATGAAAAGACGCTCAATATCACTAATCATTAGGAAAAATGCAATTCAAACCTACAGAGGAGCCAGGCTTGGTGGCTCGTGCCTATAATCCCAGCACTTTGGGAGGCCAAGGCAGGAGGATCACTTGAGCCCAGGAGTTCAAGACCAGCCTGGGCAACATATGGAGCGCTCATCTCAAAAAAGAAAATCATAGAATTACTGTATGATCCAGCAGTTCCACTTCTGGGGATACATTCAAGAGAACTGAAAGCACAGTCTCAAAGAGATACCTGTACACTCATGTTCACAGCAGCATGATTCATCAGGCCAAGAGGTTGGAGGCTGCAGTGAGCTAAGATCGTGCCATTGCACTCCAGCCTGGACGACAGAGCGAGACTGTCTCCAAAAAGAAAAAAAAAAAAAAACACTGTAACGACAACAAAGAAATTCAGGCATATAGTATACCATGGATGTACCTTGAGGACATTATGCTAAGTGAAATAAGACAGTCACCAAAAGACAAATACTGTGATTCCATTTATTTATTTTTGTTTTGTTATGTTTTGTTTTTGAGAAGACTTTTGCTCTTATCGCCCAGGCTGGAGTGCAATGGCGTAATCTCAGCTCACTGCAATCTCCGCCTTGTGGGCTCAAGTGATTCTCCTGCCTCAGCCTCCCAAGTCGCTGGGATTACAGAAATGTGCTACCATGCCCAGCTAATTTTTTTGTATTTTTAGTACAGACAGGGTTTCTCCATGTTAGTCAGGCTGGTCTCGAACTCCCGACATCAGGTGATCTGCCCGCCTTGGCCTCCCAAAGTGCTAGGATTACAGGTGTGAGCCACCGCACCCAGACTGTGATTCCATTTGTTTAAAAAAAAAATTTTTTTTTAGATGGAGTCTTCCTCTGTCACCCAGGCTGGAGTGGAGTGGTGCTATCTCGGCTCACTGCAACCTCCATCTCCTGGGTTCAAGCGATCCTCCTGCTTCAGCCTCCTGAGCAGCTGGGACTACAGGCATATGCCACCGTGCCTGGATAATTTTTGTTATTTTCAGTGGAGACAGGGTTTCACCATGTTGGCCAGGCTGGTCTCAAACTCCTGACCTCAAAGTGATCTGCCCACCTCCCAAAATGCTGGGATTATAGGCATGAGCCACGGCGCCCCGCCTGTGATTGATTCCATTTATATGAGGTCCCTGGAGTAGTCAAATTTACAGCAACAGAAGGCAGAATGATGGTTGCTGGGGGCTGAGGGGAAGAGGAACACAGAGTTTGTTTCAGTATTGCAAGATGAGATGGATGGTCATAAAGTACAACATTATGAATGTACTTAATGACACTGAACTCTACATTTAAAAATGGTTACAATCCCATCCTGGCTAACACAGTGAAACCCCGTCTCTACTAAAATATAAAAAAAAAAAAACTGGCCGGCGAGGTGGCAGGCGCCTGTAGTCCCAGCTACTCGGGAGGCTGAGGCAGGAGAATGGCGTAAACCCGGGAGGCGGAGCTTGCAGTGAGCTGAGATCCGGCTACTGCACTCCAGCCTGGGCGATAGAGCAAGACTCCGTCTCAAAAAAAAAACAAAAACAAAAAAACGGTTACAATGGTAAATGTTTTTATGCATATTTTACATAACAAACAGTGGTGTAGCATTTCAGCAGAAACCCTATAAGAAACTTGAAAAACTCCTGACAGAAATGCCTTTGAGGATGCACAGTACTGGAGTTAGAACTACCAAGTTTTTCACAAGGAATTACTATGTTAGCAAGGACGTGTAAACTAAAAATAAAATTCTTGGCCGGGCATAGTGGCTCATGCTTGTAATCCCATCACTTTGGGAGGCCAAGGCAAGTGGATCGCTTTCAGGTCAGGAGTTCAAGACCAGCCTGGGCAACACGGTAAAACCCTGCCTCTAAAAAAATAATACAAAAATTAGCCAGGTGTTGGTGGCTCACACCTGTAGTCCCAGCTACATGGGAGGCTGAGGCTGAAGAATTGCTTGAGCCCGGGAAGCAGAGGTTTCAGTGAGTCAAGATTACACCACTGCACTCTAGCTAGGTATCAAGGTGAGACCTTGTCTCAAAAAAAAAAAAAAACAAAACAATCTAAGTCCCCATCCATTCTAAGGACCCCTTATCTCGGCCAAAGGCATTCCAAAGGTAACCTGAAAAACTAGTTCAGGTCATGATGGGACGTGGGGGTCAAATATGTCCCATTTTATCTTCCTGCCTTTGGAAGTCAGACACAACTGACCATCTTAAGACTTTTTGTAGCAATAAGACACCAACTTCCAGCCTAATGCTAATACAGTATGGAAAGAAATCAAAGTATTTTATCCTAAAATATATTTCTTTGACATATTTTGAAATGGCCCAGGAAAGCTATCTCTTGTGGGGACAAGCTACATTCTACGGAGATTCCCTTTCCAGGTCTTTTCCCTGATTCAGGACAGAATTAACTAAGAGTCTGGCGCCTTTTTAAGTCTGATAAGAAACATTTACAATCTATTTTCAATGAAGCCTGCTACCTGGAGGCTTCACCTCCTTGATAAAACCTTGGTCTCCACAACCCATCTTAAGCAAAATATTACTTTCTATTGATTCTAGGTCTTTAGATAACTGTTTCAATCAGAAAATCTTTTTTTTTTTTTTTATGAGTCTCATTCTGTTGCCCAGGCTGGAGTGCAGTGGCATGATCTTGGCTCACTGCAACCTCCACCTCCTGGGTTCAAGTGATTCTCCTGCCTTAGCCTCCCAAGTAGCTGGGATTATAAGCGTCCACCACCATGCCCAGCTAATTTTTGTTTTTGCTTTTGTTTTTGAGATGCAATTTCGCTCTTGTTACCCAGGCTGGAGTGCAATGGCGCAATCTCAGCTCACTGCAACCTCTGCCTCCCGGGTTCAAGCAATTCTCCTACCTCAGCCTCCTGAATAGCTGGAGTTACAGGTGCCTGCCACCATGCCCGGTTAATTTTTGTATTTTTAGTAGAGATGGGGTTTCACCATGTTGGCCAGGCTGGTCTCGAACACTAACCTCAGGTGATCCACTTGCCTGGGCTCCCAAAGTGCTGGAATTACAGGTGTGAGTCACCGCGCCTGGCCTAACTTTTGTGTTTTTTGTAGAGATAGGGTTTTGCCATGTTGACCAGGCTGGTCCCAAACTCCTCAGCTCAATGCGATCCGACCACCTCGGCCTCCCAAAGTGCTGAAATTACAGATGTGAGCCACAACAACCGGCCAGAAAAATCTTTAAATTTGCCTATAACCTGGAAGCCCCAGCTTTCAGCTGCCCTACTTTTCCAGACCACACCAATGTACATCTCACATGTATTGATTGATGTCTCATGTCTCCCCAAAATGTATAAAACCAAGCTGTAGCCCGACCACCTTGGGCACATGTTCTCAGGAGTTCCCGAGGCTGTGTCACAGGCCACGGGTCACTCATATTTGGTTCAGAATAAATCTCTTGAAATATTTTATAGAGTATTTTCATCAACAGGTGGTTGCTAAAATGCAGGTGGCAGAGCCAGCTGTGTTCTACCTATGACAATTCTGTGTGGTGCTCACCACCCTGCTCATGGAGGGGGGCTTTAATCACTAAACTGCTGGAGTCATTCACTCTCTATGACTAATGCTTTTCATTCTGCAACTTCCCACATATAAATGTGGCCCGGCTGGCTCAGTTTCTACTTGGACAGTCTCCAGATGTTATTTTCCTTCTGTTTCTATAAGCCTGTTTGCAATACATCTTATGACATGAATAGATTAATTTCAATGGCCATCACAATTAATTGTTTTCTCCCTCAACAGATAAGCATTTTTTACACATCTGAGCCAAGATGCACAAGGTCAATTATGCTGCGGGGCATTTGAGAAGGGGCTTGGTTCAGTTGCGAACTGACTGCTGAGTTGCAAACCCCAGTGTCTGGTGGGAGGGACAGGGCAAGGACTTTCAGATTTTACTATAAATGCTTGAGTATTGCTCAAATCTTTTATGCTAAGAATGTATTTCCACTCTTCTGTAATGAAAAATAAAATTTAAAATTAGCCAGGGGTGGCAGGTACCTGTAATCCCAGCTACTCAGGAGGCTGAGACAGGAGCATCACTTGAACCCGGGAGGTGGAGGTTGCAGTGAGCCGAGATCCTGCCACTGCACTCTAGCATGGGTGACAGAGCAAGACTTTGTGTCCAAAAAAAAAAAAAGAAAAAAATTTAAGGCCGGGCATGTTGGCTCACACCTGTAATCCCCGCACGTTGGCAGGGCAAAGTGGGAGGGTCACTTGAGGCCAGGTGTTCAAGATCATCCTGGCAATATAGCAAGACCCCGTCTCTACAAAAGAAAAAAAATAGGCTGGGCACAGTGGCTCATGCCAGTAATCCCAACACTTTGGGAGGCCGAG